CTGGGGTGTAGCTCAGTGGTAGAGTGCTTGCCTAGCATATGTGAGGCCCCAGGTTCTATCCTCAGCACAAGAAAAAGATTCATACACAGGTGTTCAAAGGAATGTTTTAACAACAACAACAACAACAAACCACCACAGAAAACTGCTCAAATGTCTATCAACAGGTATACACCTGTGCTTTCATCCGTACAAAGGGATGTTACTTAGCAATAAAAAGGAACTAACTACAGAAACACATAATTGCATGCATGACCCAAAAACACCAAACAAGGGGAAGAAGCTAGACACAGAGTACATACTGTGTGGTTTTGCTTAGATAACATTCTAGAAAAGAGAAAAGTAATCAATGGTTATAGAAACTAGATCAGTGGTTGACTGGGGCCAGGGTCTGGGGAAGACTCACCTGGCAGGCAGGTGTGGGGATGGATCTCTGTGAGTATATTTCATAATAGTGCATGGCAGTTACCCAGGTATTCACAGTTTTCCAAACACAAAAAGTGATAGATTTCAAATGGATACATTTTACTGTATTTAAGTTATACCTTTGTGAAAAAAAGGAAATGCTAGGGAAGTACAGCAAAAATCCTATGCTTCACTGGGACTGGATCCAACACTTGAAATGTAACCATTGAGCAATAAATAACAAAAAAAAAATTACACTGAGGACCTAGTGCAGTGGCTCAAGCCTGTAATTCCAGCTACTTAAGAGGATCATTGCTTGAGGCTAACTCAGGCAAAGAAGTTAGTGAAACCCTACCAATAATCCCGGAGTGGTGGTGCCACCTGTGTTCCCAGTGGTGTGGTAGGCTATATAGGTAGGTGGGTTTGGGTCCAGGTCAACCCTATCTAAAAAATAACATGGAGGCATGGTTCAAGTGTAAGAACACCTGCCCAGCAAGTGCAAGCCCCTTCCCCGCAAAAAATTCTACACTGAGACCCAATTTTTTCACTTACCAGACTGTCAAAAAACAACCCTGGCTGGGCTCCAGTGGCTCACACCTGTAATCCTAGCTACTCAGGAGGCAGAGATCAGAAGGATCACAGTCCGAAGCCAGCCTGGGCAAATAGTTCTGGAGACCCTATCTCGAAAAATCCCAGCACCAAAAGAGGGCTGGTGGAGTGGCTCAAGTGGTAGAGCACCTGCCTAGCAAGTGTGAGGTCCTGAGTTCAATCTCCCGTACTGCCAAGAAAAAAACAAAAACAAAAAAACCTCCTCACATTCCCAAAAAGTTTAATAACAAACTGTTGATATGCCTATAAGGAAAAAAAAAATCTTCAATCACTGATGATGGGTATAATTCCCAAGGAGAACATTTTAGCAATACTTATTAAATTAACTGATTTTTTTAAAATTATATTTATTTATTTATGGTATGGGATTTCAACTCAGGGCTTCATGCTTGCTAGGCAGGCACTCTACCACTTGAACCACTCCTCCAGCCCCAACAGATTTCTTAAATTACAAATGCTTTGACCCAGAAATTCCATTGCTATGCTCTGTGTGTGTGTGTCTGTCTGTCTCTGTCTGTGTGTGTTTGAGACAGGGTCTCCATAGGTAGCCCAGGCTGGCCTAAGACTTGAGATCCTCCTGCCTCTGCTTCCCAATTTTTGGGATTGCAGGCCTGCACCACACATGGTCTCTCTTTCTAGGATTTATCCACAGATAAACTCAACCGCAGGTGACACAGCAAATGTTGAAGGTTATTCACTGCAGCCATGTTCAGAGCAGCAAAACATGAGAAAGGAAGCAACTGTCCATGTCCATCAAAACAGGACAGGTAAAATAATTATGATACAGCTAAACAACGGAATCCTGTGTCACTAATAAGGAAAGATCTTCATGGGTGATGGTAGATGACTCAAGCAATGCTGTGTTTGCTGTGCTGCTGTTTAGGAAAAATCAGTAACAAAAACCCAGAGGATGTACTTGGATTTTCTAATATACCGTATGTGTCGAAGATGAGGGGCAGGGATACAGCTCAGCGGGAGAGCCCTTATCCACCGTGGCGAGGTCCCGGGTTGGATCCCAAGCACCACAAACAAAACCAAACAACTACAACAACCACAAAATGAGTGCACAGGCACATGCTTGTAGTGTCTGTAATCCCAGCTACTTGGGAGATTCAGGCAGGAGGATTTGGAGTTTGAGGCCAGCCTGGTGACAGAAACACCACCTTAAGAAAACCAAAAACCAAGCAAAAACAAAAAAACAAAAACAAAAACCAACCAGAAACACCTTCTAGAAGAATAGCCAAGAAACTAGCAGCAGGGAAAATTTTTTTTTTTTTTTTTTTTTGTCTATACTAGGGTTTGAATTCAGGGTCTCACAGTTGCTGGGCAGGCATGCTACCACTTGAGCCCCTCTGCCAGCACTTCGTGGGTATTTTTCAAGATAGGGTCTCGAGAACTACTTGCCTGTGTTGGCTTTGAACCTCAGTCCTCTGAGCTCTTCTTCCTGAGTAGCTAGAATTATAGGAATTAACCACTGGTGCCTAGCCTTATGTATTTTTTGAGATAGGCTCTCCAGAACTGTTTGTTCGAGCTGGCTTTGAACCAAGATTCTCCTGATCTCTGCCTCCTGAGTAGCTAGTGTGAGTCACCTGCACCCAGCAGGGGGAGCTGTTTGGAGGAAGGTGTGGGAGATGTATAGGTAAGTCCAGTGTGAGCCAATTTTCATAGCATGCCTTTTTATAATCCTTTAAAATTTTTGAATCATGTACAAGTATTAGCTTCTAAAAGCATAAATACTTATTTAAAAACCAACATCAAAATAACACCTTATACATTAATATACCAGCTAGCGTAAGATAGTACCCTTATCCACCAGGTTATTGTGAGGAAAAAAAGTAGGAAGTATCAGGTACACACTTGGCACACAGCAATGGCTACTATGTCTGCCCCTCCCACAAAATCCCTGCTCAAACCTCTCAGACTTCAGGTTCTAGTTCCCCAAATCAGAACTGCCTTTTCTACCTGTGCCCTAGCAGGGATGACCCTGCTGCCTAGTCCCTTCTCACGGTGCCCAGTGGCAGTTCAGGCCTCACCTCCTCACAGAAGCCCTTTCTGATTGACTTTTTATGTATCCCTGTACTCCCTCCCCTGTGGACGGCAAGATCTGCTCAGTCCCTTGAGCCCAGGGGCCCCTAAGCACCAGGGATAGCCCACTGCTCCCCAGGGCAGATATTGTTGTTAACAGCTGGCCTCAGACCTAGCTTTCCACCCACACAGACATTCAGATAAGTTTCAGTTTCTCCTAAAAGTGATTAGTTTCCTTTGCTCACAAATAAAACTTCAGTTTCCTCCAAGTTGTGGTCACATTGTACCTATCTCTGCCCACTCATGACAACAGGCAGTGGCAGACTTCATGGTGGGTGGATGAGGGAAAATAAGAGGCTGGGGCTGAGCAGCACCTGGCCAGCAGGGAGGCACAGCATTGCAGCAGGTGCACCAAGGCTGGGACACTAGGGAGGAGCCCTGCAGGCAGTTGGGGTCTATTCTGGGCCTGTGGGAGGTGTCCCAGGCCAAGTGGAGGACCTACGGAAGGACAAGCAGTGTCTGGCACCGGCAGATATAGAGGGGCAAACTGGATGAGGCCTGCTGTCAAGAAAAAGGGCTTTAGGGGAAGGCCTGGTGCCAGAGCACAAGCCAGAGAGCCAGAGAAGGCTCTAGTTTTTGTGGTTTGGTCAGGTTCTCCCAAGTCTCTCCAGGAAGTCTGATGCATTTCTTAGCACTGGCACAGGCAGGGGCCCCTCCTCTGCGCTCCCCAGATTTGGGCTGAAACAGTGAAGCAGGAAGCTGGCTGGGCTTGGGGCCAGGCCTCCATGCCTGTATCCCTCCCTTTGGCCAATGGAGAAACATTGACCGGAGCAGCAGAGGGGAAAGCTCACAGTGGTCCCAACTCCCATGTGATCATAGATATGACACCACATCAGTTTGTTTCCCCTACAAGTGAGTCAATCATCCTGAACCCGAAAAGACAATCTGACAAGTTTCATTTTCCCCCAAGTTGTGATGTATCTTCCTTGTCACTGGCCCTTCACACCAGGGGCAGCACCAGCCTCTGTGGTGGCATGTGTGAGAGAACATGTCCTTCACTAAGATGATGTTTGCATGACCAGCTCTGGCATACACACGCCTTCTTTCCCAGCAAATCTGTGCCCCAGCTGTAAAGAGGAACAGAGAGCATCCTCCCCCTCTTTCTGGGGCTGTGAAGGAACTGAAAAACTCAGAACTTCAAATATCCCAAGGGCCTGTGTCAGCCTCTAGGGCAGGCATTGGTCCTGGCCTTGACTGGCAGTGGGGGGCATCACCTGTGGATGCTCCCAGCCCACCCATGTCCCCAGCCCACTTTACTTCTCTTCTCCACGTTGTAAACACGACATTTATTTGCAGAGGCTCTCAAGCCTCTGGTAAGAAGCAGAACAGCGGGCTCTCCAGCATGCAGCCTGGGCCCAACTTGTCAGGCATGCAGGACAAGCTGGGGGACCAGGCAAGGTGTCTTTGGGAGCAGCAGGACAGCAGTAGGCCTGCTGTCCCATGGCCTCCCCCACTAGCCCAGCCTGACCCTACTATAGGAGGCCTTTCCTCCCTCCCCCTCCCACCTTCTCTGATCCTCCCTGGAGCTTAGAGCCCGAGCTCTGAGCTTTGTTCCTTCTCACAGGCACCGCACAGGCTCTTTCTGTGCATCCTATCTCTCCAGTCAGGTAGTTAGCTGGGAAGGGCAGGCCTGGCTCTCGTCCTGTCTTCACTCTTCGTAGCCAGCTCAAGGCTGGGCACTTGGCTGAGGTCAGAGACAAGCAAAGACCTGTCTGGAGAACCACTATAGATGAGAAATGAAGAGCAGCCTGATCAGCCTCCGTTTTCTCCCAGCCTCCACCCAGGAGCTCCTGGCTGGGCCTGAAACTTCTTAGGGCCTCCACTTTCCATGGTACAGGCCAACGCCTCCTACTCCAAGAAGCCCTGCTGGCTCGGCACCAGGACCAGGGCCGGGTGATGGATGATCAACCAAGACAGCTACTTCAGGGCCCTGAGGACAGCCTCCAGCTTCATGGCTACAGCCAGGTCACCCTTCACCTTCAGCCGCCCACTCATGTAGGCCCCCAAGGGCCGAAGCTCCCTGCACAACAGGGCCTGCAGGTCTGCCTCACCAATCTCCACCACCACGTCAGGGACGACATCGGGTGCCCCATGTCCCACTCTGCCTCGTCCTGTGGAGGGAAAGAAAACAGCATTATAGGGAGACAGCCATGAGGAGGGAGAGGTCAGCGTGTGCATCAGGAGTAGAGTAGGGGTTAGGAGTTCAGACTCTAGAGCTGGGGATGTGGTTCAATCCCCAGTACCGAAAAGAAAAAAACAAAACAAAACAGAAACAAAGAGTTCAGGTTATAATTCTCTGGGTTCAAGACTTACAGAGTCTGGGACTATTTGGTGCCCTGGTTTGCAAATCTGGGAATGGGGAAGATAATATCCTTAAATCACAAGCTTCTGATGAGAACAGGCACAAACAGAGCGCAGTCCCGAGCACGGCACGTGAGGGCTCTTGGTACCGGGAGCCTGGCTATCTAAGTGGTTCTGCTCATGGCAGGGCAACCGAGGCTCAGACCGTCAGCTACTGTTGAGATGACATCTGACCCCACTGCCATGGTCCACCCCAAACCGCCAGCAGCAGCATGATGAGCTGTGGAGGTCACGAGCATGCTAGGTGGGGAGGGACGGGCAGCCGCACCTGTGGTGAGGTCCAGGAAGTAGATGCTTTGGGTGCCACTGGGCAGGATGACGTTGAACTGGTAGCAGGCCCCAACTTGGCTGACCAGGGCCTCAGACAGGAAGGGCTGCAGGGCGGTCAGCAGCCCCTCGGCCATGGGCTGCTTCAGGTTGGGCACAACCCCAATGTGAGGGTCAGGCAGCTCCACTTCACTCACCATCTCCAGGGTGTCTGCAGGTGGCCAACAGGGAGGGGATGGAGGCAGAGAGGAGGTCAGGATCACGGTGGCCTCTGCCCCTTTTGTAGCAGTTTCCTCTTACATCCGTCCCCTTTAGGCCTCTGTTCAGCTTCCTCCTGTGCTTGGAAGCTGCCCCCAGTTTCCAGCTTATGACCCCAAGCCCTGTGTCTAAGCTACTCCAGCCTGGGATGCAAAACCCTCTTTCCAGCTGCCCTTCTGGAACTGCTGTCTCCTCCCACAGAGGCTACCAAGGGCCTCTACACACTCCCAACACCCAGACCCTCCCCTTGCCTAGCTCTGACTGCTCTCCAATCAGGGTGGGCTGGACAGCTGGGCAGGGTGTGCCCTGCACAGAGTCACTTGATTAAGGCAGCAAGCAGCAAAGTCAGCCAGACACCACAATGTCGAGTAACTCCACCCTCCTCCTCAGGTTACTCACCTGGCCCTGGGGGCAGGGCACCTCCTGCCACAGAGCTCACACCTCCTCCCAGCAAGTGGAGGGCCAGCTGTTGGAGGGTGCTGTCCAGGCTGGGCCCAGCACAGCTGTCCTGGGGCGGCTGCAGTACAGCCTCTACTGCTAGCTCCACACGGTCCACCTCCAGCCCCCAGGCCCTGGTCACGTCATTGATCTCCAGCTGGAGAACAGCATAGAAAGAACTGGATTTAGTCAGTACACCTTTCCTGGCAGGCTTCTCTGACCATGCACCTGGAGGTGTCACATCCACCCTTGAGCAGCTCCCAGCCAGGAAGACAGGAAGAGGGATTTACCGCTCAGCTGGGTAAGCACTGAAACAGGAGGGGGTGGGATACCCAGCAGAAGGGCTGTGCCACTGGCAGGGGACTTCAGGTGCAGGAGGCCATCAGGCAATGGGAACAGCACATGCCAAAACTCAAACAGAAGAACCTGGAAAACCTGAGGAACTGTGAGGAACCATGGGTCCATTCAGTTGTTCTCCCAAGTGTGGGCTGAGGGGCCAGAAGCAGCCTATTCCGCTCATTTGGATTTATTCTGAGACAACAAGAGCCCCAGGCAGGAGTTTACATGGGGAGGTGATGGAACAGACTTGGTTTTTGGAAAATGGTCTTCCTGGCTGCTGTGTCAGACTGAAGGGGCTGAGTAAGATAGCTTCTAATTGCAGATGAGAAATGAGGCAGATTGGATGGAGGGTAGGGGGTGCAATGAAGCTGAGACACACTGTGACAGGTAGGCCCTGAAAACTCTGCCAAGCTACGGCAGGTACAGGAAGCAAAAGGGCTGGGATATGGCTCAAATGGCAGAGCACCTGCCTAGCAAGCAAGAGGCCCTGAGTTCAAACCCCAGAACCACCAAAAAAATAAAAAAATTCTCTCCTAAAGGTGAATTACAATGCAATGTAGTTTTATGAATAAAAACTGTTAACTTATTATCTGACTTGTGTTAGACTGAGCACAGGATTATGAGTAGGAGGGCAGATGGTGTGGCTCTGGTCCAGCTCCGCCCTGCTGAGCCTTGGTTTCCTCCCTCCAAAATAAAATAGTAATACTGGACTTCTTACAGCAAAAATGTGAAGTTGAGTCCCTCTGAGGCAGGCACAAGGACTCTGTAAGCCATAAAATGCTATCCCTGTGAGGACTACTGCTATGAGCACAAACAATATATTCTTAGGGATTGTATCCAGCTGGTTGCTTGGCAATGCCCTTGCTGAAGGGATTGGGGTCCTCCATCTGGCATTTGTCCCACTCCCTCTCTGTCCTCTGACACAGTTGGGGGGATGAGGGAAAACTTCACCCATACTTGTCTCCTGAGACAAGCTCAAGGGAAGAAATGCAGTGGAGTGTGGCTGTGAGGACATGCCACTGCACGTGAACGTGTTTATTTCTACCCCATCAGGTAGCAAAAGAGAAGTGAGGCAAATGCCAGTGTGGGTTATTTTTCATACACATGGAGGACGGTCAGGAGAAAGATCCAAATGTCCCAGGTTGCTTTGTTCTGTTCCAAACAAGGACAAAAATTCCACAAAAGTGCACTCATGGAATTCCCCAGCAGGTGGCTCGGCAGGAGGCCCCTGCTTCTTTTAGCCATCTGGAACAGGGACTGCAGAGGTCCAAGACCCACAAGTCACCATGCTAGCAGCCTCAGCAGTCTGAAGCAAGGCCCCCAGTATTCCTACCAGGGCGCTTTCTTTTCTCACAGATACATGTGCCCAAAGTGGCTATGTCTGGGCTCTGTTCCTCAACTTGTAGCCCCACCCAGACCTCTGGCTTGTCAAAGGTGTTTATACTCTCAGGACATATGGTAAGCTGGGGCCCAGAGACATCTGGTGCTTGCTCAAAGTGAGCTGGCAGGGAAGGCAAGGCCCAGGTGCCAGACACTGGGTCCACCGTACAAGATGCTGCCTACCAGGAGCTGGCCGCTGATCTTGAGCTTCTCCATCTGAATCTCCCGCAGTGGCCTCCTGAGCAGGGCCTTGGTCATGGCGTGCTGAGCTGTCATGCGTGTGGCCATGTTCAGATCCTTCACAGCCATCACTGACAGCACTGGGTCCCAGATGCGGAACTGGACATCAGCCCCCACAGATAGCACAGCCCCATCCTTAGAGGCCAACTGTTGGGGGAGGTGGTGAGAGAGAGGCCAGGGTTGCATGGAGGTCAGGCCCACTGAGAACACCCAGCTTGACCCACCCACCTGGCAGCTGGCTCCTCAAAGGCAAAATGGTGACTCCAAGTATGTGGGGTCAAGTGTGTGGAGCAAGGATGTTCTCCTAGCTTCCATCCTCAACTTTCTGGTTTTTATTCCCCACCCACCAAGATGGCTGCTCATAGGCCAAGGTCCTAGAACCTACATAACTCTGTGTAAACCCCACTCCCTCTGTGTGGGGCAGATGACACTCCCTCACCTTGCAGGGAGGGACGTTGAAGGCTCGGGTCCTCAGATCCACCCTCTGAAAGGAGTCGATGAAGGGAAGAAGCACAACCATGCCAGGCCCCTGAGGGGTGCGTATCCGGCCCAGACGGAACACGACCATCCGCTCATAGGTGGGCACAATCTGTCCACAGCAGCAAAGGCAGGGTAGGAAGTGGTCTGCCGGGGATGGCCCCTCGCCAGGTCCCTCCCTCTCTCCCCTTCACCTTGGTTGCAATCAGCTGTTTTTAGATAAGAAAACCAAGGCTCAGAAATCACACAGCCCCTAAGTAAAGTGGGCATAATTTGAACGCAGTTCCGAATGACTCGAAGGCCATGGGTCTCGGTGATACCTGGAGATAGTTCATCTCTGGGGCCTGAAGCTGGACATGACTCATACAAGGATACTGTCTGCCCTTGGATTAGTTGGGAGAAAGGCTAGGCTGCTTTAACAGTTGGCTTTGCCAACTTCAGATCCCTGGAGCCTTTCAAGAAGCAGTTACGTCCAAATGGAGAAATAAAAGCCCAGAGAGGTAAAGTGACTTGCCTGAGGTCACGTGGTGTTTGTTTCAGTGGCATTTCAGAAAGAGGATCTAGGATCACCTAAGGACTCCCTTCCAGACCACACAAACCCAGAGGCTTTCTAGAGATGCCTTGGGCACACACGGAGGGAGGCATTCCTAGGCTTTCACCTTCACTGAAGTTTTCAGGTGTGATGCTCAACTCTAGCTTTATGACTCATCCTTTTCCCCTCTGTACCACCCCCTGTTGAAAACAAGGGGATTCCTAGTACACATTCCCTAGTAGGTTAAGCTTGGTGCTCTTATGTCTAGTTGGCACAGTCCAAAAGGAGGGTGATTTGCCTGTGATATCTGTGTCCAGACCCTAGGACTTAGGAGTTTGGGAAGACTTGTTTCTACTCTTCCTGGCCCCAGGACAACTTTGGACATGTCTGGGCTTTGGTTTGCTCACCTGAAAGATGGGAATGAACAATCCTTGTGTTGCTCATTTCACAGGGATGTGATCATTCTTAGAGGCAGGGGGTAGAACATGGGGAATACATTCATTGATGCCAAATCTTTCAATGTTGTCCAACCACCTGGGGCTGATCCAGCCATTCTTACCTTCACGGCAAACCAGCCGGAAACAGGGAAAGTGAGCAGCAGCAGCAAGAAGCCCAGAAAACTGATGAGGCCATGGCAGAGGCAGGAGGGCCAGCTTTGGGGTGCATCTGTGGGCAAGAGAGCAGAGGCAATCACAAAATGCCAGCTGGACCTGGCTACACAGCTGCAAGTACAGTGACCTTGGACAAGTGTACCTTTCACCCCCCCTTCCCTTCAGATGCTCCTTCCATCTCATGGCTTTCAATTTGGCTCCTTGTCTACTCTCACTGTATCTTTGGACAGGTGCTAGTTAGGGACTGTCCCCTCCTCCCATATATCAAATTCTAATCTGTTACAAGTACACACCCCTCACAAGGTCTTACTCTCTGCTAGGCAACAGACACTGCATCAGAGAATCCAGTTCATGTGAGGCTGTCCTCACTGGGCTCAGCAGGAGTAAGTCCAGTGAATCTCCCTACCCAGGCCTGGCACAGAGCATGAGTGCTGGGTTGAACTAAATGCAGCTACCTGTACCAACAGCCCCAGAGTGTGCTTTCAAGAGGTCCTCATGGACATATCTTAACCTATGGGGATAAGACATTAACTGCTCAAGAATATGGGGCTAAAACATCATTTTCTGGTCTTCACTTCTACCTTAATGCCCTAAGAACCATAAAAAATGCATATTCTAAGCCAGGTGTGGTAGCACACACTGTAATCCCAGCACCCAGGAGGCTAAAGCAGGAGGACTGAGTTTGAGGCCAGCCTGAACTACATACAAAAAACAAAAATGGGGTAGTTGGTTAGGAAGATGAGGCTCATCTGTGCTGAAGGTCCTGACTCCTGAAAAACCAGGAGCTCTGGATGCAAAAGGAGCAGACAGCCCCAGAACCTGGGGTAAGCTTGTTCTCTGTTCTCCTTCTCTCAACTCTGGACAAGAAGCAGACAGGAGCCTCAGTTCCATCCTTCCCAAAGCCCATGCCTGCTCAGCCTTCTACACTTCAGGGCTCCAAGGTTCACTTCCTGCCTGGTTCTGATCCACTGTGGCCTCTGCAGGAATGGAATCTTTGGACAGGGGCAGCTGTCACTATAGAAAGACCAGGGAAGGTCCAAATCCTCCAAGGTCAGCCTGTGGGCCAAAGGAGCCACAGAAAGCTTTGGAGCAAGACAGCCAGGACAGACACAAGTTGCACCTAAGGCCTGCCTTTTTGTTCTGCGCATCTTCACCAACAAACAGGGAGACAGATGCCTGGTTCCTAGGCTTCTACTCCAGGGTGAATACTCTTTATTTCCCTGCAGGTGCCCTTAGGGAGCTGGGAACCTCCTCTGCCAAAAACTCGGTTTCATGCCATGCATATCGGGAACTTGGAACCTTGGCCCTGACAAAAGCCGAGAACGTAGCGGGGCGAGGTTCTGGAACACGGGAGCTGCTCTGGCTCTGGGGCTGCAGCAAGCGCCCCTGGGGAGGGCAGATCAGCAGAAGAATCCCAGGGTCGGGTGTAGCCCCGTCTCCACGTCGCACATCGTGTCCCCTTCTCGGTCTCCCCTCTTAGGGAGCGGGACCGGCCGATTCCTTACAAGCAGAGTTAGAACCTAGGGTACCTGCCAGTGCCCCCCGGGTCCGCCGTGCTGGGAGACCACTCACCGGCCCCCGGCCCCACGCCGCCCTGCTCTAGGGACAAGCAGCCCTTCTGCGAGCCCAGAAAGCCAAAGCTCGACTGCTGGAAGCGATCAAAATCCCCCAAAGGCAGCGCCCGGTACCCGGACCTGCCGAGCATGACTTCTGATGGGGACACGCCCCGCGCCTCCGCCCGGCGCCCACCCAGACCAGCCCGGAGCAGCCTGGCCCCGCCCCTGCTGGCCGCCGCTTCCGGCTTCACCCGCGCAGCCGCGGAGAGCTGGAGCGTGAGGGCCGGGGGCGGTGCCCGCCGTGCCACAGCGCCCCCTGCGGTGGGAGGACTGAACTGCGGTTGCAGGACCGGAGCTGGGCCTGCGCTTTTAGGAATCCACAGAGATCAGCTCCACGTTCTCCCTGCCCTTTCCTGCACTTAGAAAAGGTGCAAGAGACGCGCAGGAGGCGAATGTTCTCCAGAATCAAGGGAATGCTGTTGTCAGCCTTCTCAGCACTCCCTCTCAAACTCATGCTCTGAGAAGGACATGCCTTATCTAGAATTAGGGTTTCTCCAGGGCAAGGTCAGCAATTGATTTTGCTTTGTGTCGCATCGCCCAGCACCGGGGCCTCTCACAGAGCAGATCTCAGTACTTACTTGAATGATGGGGTAGCCAAGTCACTGTGGACAAGGTGGGCTGGGAAGGGCTGAACTTTGGTACAAAATAAGAGAAATTGCAGGTGCAGACTTGAGGGAGCATAGCAGAGTAAGGAAAGGGTGATAGCACAGAGCTGTACGATGGCAGGGTCACCAGAGCGTCACAGCAGACACCTTGATCCGGGTACCTGAGGTAACTTGCTTTTCCATGGCTTTAGAAAACCGAAACGCAGATAATAAATTTAATTTGAGAAGTGTTAACTTCCAAAGCAAGTAAAGAAAATAGAGCTTTCCCAGTCCTGCCTCCTAGGGTCCCCACTGTCCACCTCCACGTCCTTTCTGCAGATGACTGCCTACCACATTTGGCTTTTCCTTGTTTGGTGGCCTGATTCTAAAGTCCTGGGGGTACTGCACTGGAGGGTATAGTGCACTCCCAAGGTCTAGCACAGTGTCTGAGATGTTGGCTCTCCCTTCAGTCCCCACTCCCTCCCCTGCCACACAAACTCAGACACTAAGCTTTACAAGAATAAGTCCCTGTCATCATCCCTTCTAGTCTGTTCCATGCTGGAACAAAGCTCAGAATGGGTACGTAGGGGCCCTAGCACTGGTTAGGATGGTTTGAAATTTGAGGCCAGTTAGGCTGCTTGGAACTGTGCCCTTTACCTCTCACCTGCTGGTGTCTGGCCTGCTTTTCATTGGTCAAGACCTAACTTGCTGTCTCTCATCTTGTTTACCTGCTGGCCACCTCCCTCCTTTCTCCCCCAGCCCCCTTCAGATCCACCAGCCTACAGCCTTTCTGGACCACCTGCCCCTAAGTCATCAGAGTGACTGTTCTAACATGCACAGTTGATCGTGTACCCAACTCTCGGTCACCTGCTGAGCTGATCCAATCTCCTTAGTTATGAGTAATCTCACACCAGTACATTTCTCAGTCATCATTTGTCCCCTCTTCTATCCGAAAATGGCCCAAACTACTTTCTAAACAGGCTTTCTTGTTTCAAACCTTCATGCCTTTTACAAGTGCTGTTCTCTCAAAATGTTCCTCCATCCCCTCCTCTGTTCTCAGCTGAGAGATCTCTTTTGCAGTCAATCCCAATACTGTGTGAAAGTCTCTGATTTGGGACTGGCTCTTTCACTAGATCTTGGGGTTCTTTGAAAGCAGGAGCCACGTGTGGTCCTTCTAGGTGCCCCGGGTCCCAGCTGGGGTGGGCACAAAGCTGTCAGTGTGAGTGGCTCACAGCCAGAACTGGGGGCTGCCTCTCTGTCAGATCAGCCTCTCCCCCCTCCCGCCTTTTCTTTTTGAGACAGGGTCTCACTACGTAGCCCAGGCTGGCCTTAAACTCACGATCCACCTGCCCTCTGCTTCCTGAATGCTGGGATTACAGGCATGCACCATCATGCCTAGCTTTTTGCTTTTTTTTTTTTTTTTTTGCTTTGTTTAACCTCTCTCTCTATTCCGAGTCTGCGGGCCTCCACTGCTCTCCGGCCTCTCCCTCCCTCCCCGCTCGGGGCGTGTCTACAGAAGGCTCCTGTCCACCCCTGGACCCGCCCCCCGCCCCGCCCCCGCCCTGTCTCACTTCCTCTCGGGAGGCGGGTCCTCAGCCAGCACCGCCCCTTTAGACAGTTGGGGAGACAGCCTGCTGACTCGCGCGGCGGGCTGGGATTCTCCTCCCACCTTCAAAGACCAAACCGAGAATCGAAACTGAGCTGGGCTCCATGCAGCAGCAGCCTGCACCCGCCCGATCTCCGGGCCTCCACCAGGACCCTGTCCTGCCCACCATGTCTCCCCCGGAGTCCCCCTCCGAAGGCCACCAGCCCAGCCACAGCCAGAGCCCCGCAGAGGTACTAATGGGTTTGGGATGAAGGGGCTTAGGCTTAATTTTGTGCTGAGGTGGGAGAGTTGGGAAGAGAGAGGATCTTCATGGAGAACGTGGCCAAGGGCCTTAAAAAGTGATACTGGGGTTGGGGATGAAGCTCAGAGGTTGAGTGTTTGCCTAGCATGCACGAGGCCCCGGGTTCGATCCCCAGTACCGGGAAAAAAAAGTAGCGACCCAGAGCCAAAGCCAGACCCCAGGGTTCTGATCCTCTTTGCTGGGGCACAGTAGGGACGGTAGGATAGGGTAGAAAGGGGGACCAGGATGAACTAGGGAGACCCTGTTTGGGCTACGGTTCTCCACTGAACAGTTGGACAACATGAGGAAGGTCGGTTGCGATGGGGCAGCCCCTCCCACCCACCTTGGAGCCTTGCCTTTTAGCTCCTGCCCCAGACCAAGGATCACAGGTTAGGGAGAAGGGAGTCGCCCTGTTGCACTGGGGCTGGCGGGAGGGTCATGACCTAGGCCTGGCAAAACCACAAAACCTAAGTTCCCAGATGGGAAGTGGAGAATTATGGCCCAGAAGGCAGAGATACCTTGGCCAAAGCCTTGCTGCAGCTCCTGTGGTTTCTCCTTGAGGAAGTCGGGTCCTTCGTTTGGAACACCCTTCCTGGCCACCCCTCACTCTAAGGGGGCTATGCTGAGTCCTCCTCCTGGAATTTTTGCTTTAACCAGGATCCCTACACACACCAACAACTACTTTGTGTTCTGCCAGGCCCTTTTGTTCTGCTTCTTAAAAACACAGATAACACCATATCCCTGTAACTTTCATTATTGGTATTTTGTTACTGAGAATAAGCACTTCTGATGTGCCCAGTACTGTATTGAGCACTTGGGGGTTGATTGTGGTGAAATGCACATACCATAAACGTTACCATGTTAACTTTTCTAAGTGCACAAGGCAGTGACATTAAGTACATTGTTGTGTAACCATCACCACCATCTATTTCCAGAACTTTCTTATCACTCTCAGAAACTCTGTACCCTTTAAGAAATAGCTCCTTTTTCCGTTTCTATGAACTTCCTGTCACTATGAACTTGACTGTACTGAGTATTTCAGATACACTATTTCTCCTTTTGTGTCTCTTTTATTTCACTTAGCATAATATGTGCTAAAGTTCATCTATGTTGCATGTATCAGAATTTCATTCCTTTTTAAGGGTAAATAATATTCCATCATATGTGTAGGCTCTGTTGTGTTTGCCCATTCATCTGTTGATGGGAACCTGGGTTAATGTACTTTAGTGCACAAGTGTATGTTTGGATCTTTGTTTTCGGTTCTTTGGGATATATATTAAGGGATGGAATTTCTGAGTCATAGTAGTTCTATGTTTAACTTCTTAAGGATCTCCCCCAAAAAACTGCATTAAGCACTTTATATAAGGTTGGTATTTAGTATACCTACCTTCCAAACTGAGGTGTTTTGTTTTTTTTTTTTCAACTCTGGGTCTCAGGCTTGCTAGGCAGACACTCTACCACTTGAACTACTCCACCAACCCTGTTTTCTGTTAGGTTTTTTTCGAGATAGAGTCTTGGAAACTATTTGCCTGAGCTGGCTTCAAACCGCCATCCTCCTGATCTCTGTCTTCTAAGTAGCTAGGATTACAGGCGTGAGCCATCGGTGCTGGTCAAACTGAGTTCCTTGAAGACAGGGATGTAACTTAAACATCCCTGCATCTCAAAGCAAGCACTATGTCTGGTGGGATGTATCCTGAAGGCCTGGGTAAATGGGGGAACTGGGGTGCTGCTAAGTCAAGCCAGCATTCCACATCAACCAATGACTGGCTAGAATGGAATGTGAGATTCTACCCCAGTCTCCCTCCAGCTGAAGGGGCCGGCAGCCAGTGGGTGAGGACTTCTGGGCCTTCTTCAAAGCCTCACCTCTGTCCTTTGGTTCCCCCAGCAAGCCGAGGAGGAGTTCCAGTTCCTGCGCTGCCAGGGCTGCCAGGCCCAAGCCAAGTGCCCCAAGCTGCTGCCTTGTTTGCACTCGCTGTGCTCAGGATGCCTGGAGGCGAAGGGCATGCAATGCCCCATCTGCCAGGTGCCCCAGCCCCCGGGCGCTGAAGTCGGGGCCCTGGATAATGTATTCTTCGAGAGCCTGCAGCGGCGCCTGTCCATGTACCGGCAGATCGTGGGCACGCAGGCGATTTGCACCCGCTGCAAAGAGCAGGCCGACTTCTGGTGCTTCGAGTGCGAGCAGCTCCTGTGCGCCAAGTGCTTCGAGGCGCACCAGTGGTTCCTGAAGCACGAGGCGCGGCCGCTGGCCGAGCTCCGCAGCCTGTCTGCACGCGAGTTCCTGGACGGCACGCGCAAGTCCAACAACATCTTCTGCTCCAACCCCGGCCACCGCACGCCCGAGCTGACCAGGTGAGTGAGCATCCCTGAGCCAGGTAGGAGGCGGGAGAGCAGGGAGGCAGGGACACAGCGGGGACCTGGAGCTTCTGGGGCTTGGCATCTCACAAGGTGGTTCACAGACTTACAATGACCCCAGCCTCCAGGAGGGTGGACAGTTGTCAGCTTTCCCTTTGAAATAAGTAATGCGACAGAGCCACTGACCCTTGCACTTTTATCTATCGATTTCTTTACCATAAAATTTTTAGAAGTGTCAGTGCTGAGTGAAGGGTCTTTGAAAATTGTTACATTTTGGTACAAATTGCCTGTTAGAAAAGTCTGCCAGTGGAATTTTCCATAAACTGTCGACAGGGAATCTCAGGAAGGTTGGTTCTAGGGTCAGATCTGGGAACGAAGATTTTGTCATGAGAAAAAAATTTCATAACACCCTTAGTGCTAACTGGGAATACCCACATGAAAAAGAAAACAAAATCAAATCCACTTACAATTATTTTTATTAAACGGCAGATTTTAATTCTATTTGGAAATAGGTAATAGATTTATACCATTCACAAAGAAAACCAAGTGAAAGAAACAGCGTCTCCATTCCATTCCCACCTGCCTAATTTCCACCTCCTAGTTTTGAATGTTTCTTAGCAGGGTTTCTTTGTGAATATATGCCCAGGTGGAACAGCCTTAAACGGTGGCCTTTTAGCCATTAAGGTAGTATATGTAGGTAAACTTTGGACACTGCTTCCATACAGCAGCAGTAGTTTTGGGGATCTGCCTGCTATGAGAAGCTAGGTGTTCTCTGCTCATTCCTGGGGCACTGAAAACTACTCACCTGCTGAACTTTGTACCTTTTGGGCTCATTGTGGCTGGTTTCCTTCAGAAATGCTCAGAGTCCTCCCTCCCCCAGATTCTTCAACAGCTATGTTGTCCTGTTTAATTTGCATTTCTTTGCTTATTGCTAAGTTGAGTGGCTTTTCCATCTGTTTATTGTCCCTAGTGTTTCTTCCTTTGTGAACTGCCTATTTAGAGCCCCTCAGGAATTAGTCCCTTTGTTTGTAAGAGCATGTTAGAATGCAGATGTCTTTCTCAGTGTTGACCTTTGCCATTCCACTTCATAAGTGGTATAATGTTTGAAGTAAGTCTTTAGTTTTATGCAGTCAAATTGTCAATCTCTTTCTTTACGGCATCTGACTTTGATGTGTCCCAGGAAGGGATATTCTCACAACCCATGTTAAAAATAATCTCTTATATTCTAGTTCAGTAATTTCATGGTTTAGGAGCTGGGGGTATAGCTCAGTGGTAGTTTGCTTGCTTAGCATGAGTGAAGTCCTGGATTCAATCCCCAAAACAGCAAATAATAATAATAATAATAATAAAAGCGAAAACAACTTTATTGTTTTCATAATTCAGTCCTTAATTCCAATGGAATTTATGTTTGTGTGCGTGTTAGGTGGGCATCTTTGTTTAGTTTTTCTTTCAATGGAAAGTCAGTTTCTCTCAGCCACATTTATTGGATAGTCTTAAGCAGTGTGCATTGATCCGAAACACCTTCTTTATCATATACCAAATACCCATACAGTCACAAGAGTGTTTGTAAGTCTATTCTGTGGCAAAAGAACTGACTCTTCCTGCTCTAATCCTTACTGCTCTAAGAATTTCTTTAGTTTTTTTCCATTCTTCTTCAAAAATAATTTTGACTTCCATTCTTAGGCAGTTTCAAAACTTACATATATGCTGTTATTTCAATTGAAATTGAATCAAATTGGCCTCATCTTTGGTTATTTTGTTTGGATTTTATAGCTTCATTCGCATGGGTTTTGAACTTATAAATTTATAATAATAATATTGTGAATGAGATCTTTGTATAATATTTATAACATATTATATATTAAATATACGTTATAATCTTTGGTTGGTATCATGAACTTTCACGAGTGCTCCTAATTCTTATGCATATTAATGTGATAGCCATCTTACTGAACTTTCTTAATTAGGTCTTAATCAGTAAGTTTTTCAATTGATTTGTTTGAATTTTCTAGGTAAACAAGCAGAACATTTGAAAATTGTGGGATTTTTTTTCTTGCCACTCCCACAAAATACCACTTTGCTAGCTTTGTTTTGTTGTCTAGCACTGCCAGAAAATATTGCGTAGTAATGGTTAGAAAAGGCAACATGAGGTCTGGAAGTGTGGCTCAAGTGGTAAAGCGCCTGTCTAACAGGCTGGAGGCTCTGAGTTCAAACCCCAGTACAAAAAAAAAAAAAAAAGCACTTCACCTTGTTCCTGTCTTTAATGAGAAAGTTTCTTATATTTTCTGTTAAGTATGATTTTCTTATTGATTCTTAAAAATCACATTAAGAAAGTTGTTTTTCATTTGGGTTTTGTTGTTACTGTTATTTTATTTTTAACTTGGGAATATAGAAATCCTTTTACCTTTAGTATGACAAATTAAAGTCTATGTGTTTCTTTATATTGAACCATTTTTCATTCCTGGCAGGAAAAACCCTACTTGATCATTGTTTTTACTATTATTTTTTGCTATTATTTTTTAACTCATACCTAATTACTTATAGTAATATTTTAATTAGACTATTACCCATACTCATAAATGTAATCAATTTTGTATGAAATATATGATTTCTTTGTTAGGTTTTTCTTAGCTTCTTTTCATGCATTTTGGAAGCTTTCATTTCATTTTTACTAGTGTGGTAATACAGTCATCCTCCATATTCAAAGGGGAATTGATTCCAGGACTCCACCACCAACCCCACAGAAAAACAGACATCCTCCTGAATTCTTTAAATTAGCTCTAGATTACAAATAGCACTCAAGACAATGTAACTGTGTATAAACATCTTAAAGATGAAGACAGAGGCAGATGCAGACAGCCCCTTTGTGTCCCCCTGTCCCTGTAACTTGGCATCTGAAAGGAGGTGGGAGAGGACTAGCTACTCTGGCTTTTTAGTTTTTACTTTCTTATTTTAATATCTGAATCTGACCCTTTTAATAGTTATTTAAAATAACATAATTTCCCTGTGCCCTCATTTTGCTGCTTTACCTATCACTCATGGCTGACATCTCTGTGGAGTCCATTCTTAGGCAGTTTCAAAACTTACATATATGCTGTTATTTCAACTATATTGTTTAGAGAATAATGATAAGGAAAAGCTAGTATATATATAGTATAGATACAGTTTTTTAAAAAGAAATACTTTCCATCTAAAGATGTAGAACGTAGAATTACTATACACATATAGTAATCATGTATGTATACATATGTACAAGCATATAGCACACACACCCATATTCACACATGCATACAGACATCTTAGAACACATTTCAGCTGTTACCATCAACAGTAGAGTATCTTTTCTTCCAGATAAAATGTATAACATACTTTTTCTTGTTCTCTCTATTACCACAGTCATACTTAGTTGAAATAATATGAACTTTTAGTTCCAGGTTATTACCAAATTTTTATGCCTTTTCTCTTTTAAGTCTCCTCTCATAACAATTATTAAACTTCATAAGCTCACTTAGCTAGAATCTTAAATTTTAGGTTTCATTGCCCACAAAAAAATTGCTATCACTTGTCTTCATCTTTCTTGAATTATTTAATGTGGTTCATTTTCCATTTGGCTGGACTACCAGTAAAAAGTATTTCATTTTTCAGGGTTTGTTTATAGGAACTTGAGTGTCTTAATTTGCATGCCCATCTTTTTTTTTTTTTGGCAGTACTGGAGTTTGAACTCAGGGCCTCACATTTGCTTGGCAGATGCTCTGCCACTTGAGCCACTCCATCTTTTTCTGTTACATATAATGGGATACTTAGCTAGCTATAAAGTCCTGGGGTCACCATCGCAGTTCTTTTATCTAGGTATATGTAAGCATTGCTTCATAACTTTCCAGCCTCTGGTGTTTTGGATAAGAAGTTCTGACTCTTTTGCAACTATTTTTCCTCTGTGAGAAATCTGTTTCTGTTAAGGATCTTTATATAACGAAAGAAAAAATAATTTGTAGAGAAGTGATAAGATAAAAGAAAAGGGCTTTTTAGGCTTTCAAGAGCAGCACACTGTGGCAGGGAAATCTGTAGGGAGGCTAATAGGGGAAGGGTTGCTTATGCAGGCCCATCTTGGGGCCATAAACCTTCCCTGAAAGAGATTTACATTGGTCACCATTTCTCAGAAGTTTCTGTTTTTTGTCAGCTAAGGAAGCTCTGGGGAGGTTTGTTTTTGTTGTTTTTTCCCTGTGTCTGTTGACTCTCATTTGCCTCTAGCTAAAATTTATTTGCCAATGTGACAGATTTTTAGATTGTCATATTTTGGCTTCCTATACCAAATACAGTGGCAAGGCTGTTCCACCCAGCAAGAGCAGGATTCTGTCCCTCAAGCATGAAGGATGGCTTTAAAAAAAACAAAGAAAACTGATCATGTTGCTTAAAAGTCATACAAACACACAATTTACCAGGGGTTACTGTTATAACTCGTAATTTCTTTGCAAGACCTCAGTACCATAAATAACCCACAACTTCCTTCTGGTCACAAGTCAGGGGTAAACCACTCTGTCCTTTGTCACTGAGCTGACTTGGAGCTCATGCTGGGGAGCAACTGCAGAGGTGGCTTTAAGTGAGGGTGGGAGGAGGGGTGGGAGGGGCCGTTTAGCACTGGTATATACCTCAGTTCTTGAGTCCAGAGAAGAATTCAGGCAAGACGCAAAAGTAGTGCAAATGATAGTAAAGTTTATAAGGGAAAAGAATTTAGTATAACAGGAGAACAGTGGGGAGAAATTTTAGGGAAAGGAGAAACATTTCCTGCTCCCCATGCAGGAAATGGGAGACTCAAAATGGTGGTCATCACCTCTTAGTCTTATACTTCCCCAGTTGGAGTACAAGTGGCCATGTCTGGCAACCCGTAATCATTAAGACAATGGATCTGGGTGGCTAAGATGAGTGCTAAAACAAGGAGATGTCACCCAGGTCTTCCCAAAACGGAGGGACAACAGTTGTGCTTCAAGACTTCCCTTTGG